TTGATGCACATACATGTATTTACATGTATGTTGCATATGAAGTTTGAGCCAGCTCCGATCAAATTTGGATTTTTTACAAATTTTTGAATCAGGTCAATTAGGCAAAGTCTCTATAGTTTAGTACATGGTCCTGGGCCAAATTTCATCAAAATTGAAAAGTAGAGATTTCTCCATTTTTATAATTTTTTTCTAACACCTGTTCTTATGTTGCATAGAAAGTTTGAGCTGCTTCCAATGAATTTAAATTTTTTAAATAGCTTCAAAATCTGGCCAAAGTCCTGTACAGGGACTTTGGACAAGTTTTGTCAAAAATTACAAATACCAATCATTACCAAATTTTATGTACCTACTTTTGAGATAACAAATTACATTAAAATTGTCACCCACTTTGAGGTGAATTGTTCCTACATGTATAATATTTTCTATTGATATTTCAAGATTCATTTTTTATCCTTTGAGTGTCGTTTTGAGACTTAAACATCAGCCACTTGATGGTAAGAGAGAGAGAGAGAGGAAGAGTGTACGGTGTATAGCGCAATACTTTTGATAACTGTGAATTTTTCCCAGTTTACCTAAAAATCTATATTTCATGAATTTAACATTCATGAAATTATACCATCTTCCATCTTACACCAGAATAAATTGAATTAATTTTTGCGTATCTTCAAAAAATTGCAAAAATTTATAGCTCTTAAATTTTTTTCGCTATACAGTGCATGTGTGTTACAATGTATACAATAATTATTACATTTATGAACCTGTAGGTCAATTGTTTGTTAATAGCTTCATTTATAAGCTTCATTAGCTTCAATTTGGAGCTATACAGTAATACTAACAGTAAATGTCATGACTGTGCATATGTACCTACTGTAATACATGTATATATTTGTCTTTTTTGTTCCTGTTAGTCACAGACGGATAGTTCTGATGATGAAGATGAGGTTGTTAAAGAATTAGTGAAAGCACAAAGTGAACTGAAAGTTGTAAGTTTGTGATGAAATTATCTTCTATTTCTTCACTACCTTATACCATTATACAATGTACTTTAATTGTGTGT